TCTTCTCTAATATTTTTGGGTGTTATGGGTTTTTTTTTATTGCGTCATTTGTTTACTAATATAGTTTTTGATCTGTTTGGACATTAATTTTTCCTTTTTGTGACATTTCTTCTTCTCTGATATTTTTGGGTGTTATGGGTTTTTTTTTATTGCGTCATTTGTTTACTAATATAATTTCTGTTTATCTCTTCTGATCTCTTTGGGTGTTTTGCGTTTTCTTGATATCGTCATTTGTTAATTAATATGGTTTTTCATTTAATTGTTTTTTGATTTATTTCTGAATTTTTTTCTTTTAACTGTATAATTTTTTGTATTGATATTTTTTGTTTTTTTCTTTATGATGTTTTGTTTTGAACAATAAAATTTTTGTATTTACCTATTTTTTTCCAAGTTCTTCATGCAGAGGCATTTGGAAATGTTTTTCTTCTTATGTTTTTTTTTTCGATCCATTTTAGAATTTTACAAATTTCTATTTTTCTTTATTTTTGTTTAGTCAATTGTCTTTTGTCATTTTGGCTGATTAGCTTAATTAGTTGTTCTTCTTTTTCATTTTCTCAGGACGTTTACTATCTAACCGTGTTAATTTTATAGTTTGACACGTGTTGAGTAATCATGTTTTTGATATATCTATTTTTGTAAGACTTTTTATCAGAGATTGAGCAAAAATTTGATGTCGTTCTCTATATATAACATGTTTTGTTTTGTTACAACAACAGTATATTTTACTTTCTACAATATATATATGCATGTAAATATATTTTAATTAACAATATTATATATATCTGTGTAAAGATATTTATAAAAATTTTAAATCTATAATATAATACAACACTGTATTCCACAATAAAACGCAAAATACAAGTTTGTATATTTTCTATATAAAGAACAAGTTTCATACGTACGTCTTAAATAAAAAATATTAAGAATTGTAAAAAACAATTTGATAAATTATTACTACAAAAGAAATCTGTTTATTTTACTTATTTCCACGCACTATTTACCGGCTTATTTTGATGAGCGGAGTAATGCACAATGACTAGTATCTCAATATTCTATAAAAATATAAAAATAAATAAGGTGACGTTTGGTTCATGGATTAAAATCATGTGATTAGAATCATTTTTTATTTACGTGTATTTTTCATAAGATAAAATACTGTAGTGAACTATGAACCATGATTTAAATTATAGTTTGAATCCTACAACCAAACGTCTCTTAAATAATCTAAATAAAAAAACATTTTTCCTAAAAAAAATGAAAAATGCAGCGCATGATTCAAATTATAGGTGGCTATTTATATGATAAGCAAAAATTGAGTTCTCTTTTAAGTATTACTCATAAGATATTTCTATTCCAAAATTTCTACTTACCAAAATTATTATATATACACATATATAAAGAAAAAGAAAAAAAAAATCGTTTTTGTTATGAGCGCTTGGCTTTCATAATTCAGCGGCACAATACATGACGCACGCACCTCGCCAGACGTGCAAGCCAACTTATCCATAATCCAATAACCATACTTCCACGTGGCGTGATCAAACGGCCTCGTTAGGCACCGCCCAAGCCTCCTGATACGTCCACCTGTACCCCGACAGGTCAAGTAGGTGGCGCACGTGACGCCACGCCACGTGTCGGGCTGGCGGGGCACGTCGCATGTTCGAGAGCTCCGCGTGATTGGCTGGGCCCAGAAAAAGCGTTTGCCTAGTTGGACTCCACTATGTCACATGGGCAATCACGGGACGCCACGTGGACCAGCCAAAATCATTTTTCATTTCATTGGCGAAATTTTGAAAAGCGTAAACGCGGGTGGCGGAGTTTTTAGTCCAACTAGGCCAACGTTTGAACAAGGGCAGAATGGGAATTTCAAAACAAAAGAAAATGAGAAGACTTATCCATAACTAACGGAACTACACGGCCCTTCCTAGTTTGAACGCGAACAAGGCAAAGCGAAAATTCCACACATTTTTATGGATATGGATGATATGGCTGCTTATTTTACTTTTCTTCCTCTTTTTTTCTTTTTCTTTTTTTTTTAAGAAAAAAATGTGCGATCATTTATTAACTAATTTTTTTTTCCTGCTTTTGGGTTGTCAAGCTCTTTATTATTATTGCGGAAAATATTAGTGGTGTCAGAGCTTTAGGTATTAATTCTTATTCATTGTTGGTCACGTTCACAAATTTGTGCCATGAGTGGCGTGAGTCAGTCAGTCGGTTAATCTTTTAGTTCCGTTTATTTCGTTAATTTAAATTTAGAATTTAAATTTTGTTACAGTAAAAAACTCTCATAAACAATCATATTTAACTTTTTTATTACAGTAAAAAGTTCTCACATAAAATCACATCTCAATTCAAATTAAAAACTCGAATCAACGAACTAAACGGGCCCTTAGATTATACAGCTATTTTGTTGGTGTCGTTTTTTATCTTTTCTTCTTGACTTTTCTTTAATTTTTGGTCGTTTAGTTTTATGAATAGTACTAGAGCATCTTTTAAGGGAATTTTTCTGTTCTCTTGGTTATGGTTTCAACTAAGACGCAACTGTCATGTTGACAAAAATGGTTCAAGGAGAGAATGTATTATTTATTTATTTTTATTTTGGCTAGATAGAGGTTTTTATTGTTAACTGATGGCTTAGTTAAACGTCAACAAGAACTCTAATTGCAATTCATTCATTAACATGGTCAATAAGCCTATGCTTGTCGACCACCCTACGCGGTTGTCACGTTGATAAAATAAGGCATGTATATTCGTTATCTACTTTCATTGAATTGGTAAGGAAAATAAGACAAGTTTTCAAACGTTCACAATCGGCTATTTGTTGCCAAACAAATTTTTTAAGATAACCCAAATCTTGTTTTATTATAAATATTAACACAATTGTGTTGTAAGGTATAATAAAATAAATTATCAATTTGATGTTAATTTCTCGATAAACATCAAGCAGCATTAATTTATATAACTTTCTTAATTATATATACGATTTGATTGGTTTTAATGATTCAAAATTATGTCTTTTCAGTAGAGTAATTTCTTTCAATCCTACCACAAAATATTCCTTACAATTATTATTTTGATTTTGTGAATTCTTGTTAATTTAAATTTTAAGCATGCTTCTAATTATTAAAACTAAATTATAGACGGACCCCCACAAAACAGAAACGGAGGCATCTTTTTCTCAATGAGTTCAATCTAAAGGAATCTTCAATCCTAGCTGTTGAGCTAAAAATTTGGTAGTTTAACCAATTATGAAAGTGAAACCGCATCAAATTATGTGTCCCTAGAACTGTTGGCAGTCTCATTAGGACGTTTAACTACAAGGCTTCGATGCTATTTGAGAAGATAAATATTTCTCAATGAGTTCAATCTAAAGGAATCTTCAATCCTAGCTGTTGAGCTCAAAATTTGGTAGTTTAACCAATTATGAAAGTGAAACCGCATCAAATTATGTGTCCCTAGAACTGTTGGCAGTCTCATTAGTACGTTTAACTACAAGGCTTCGATGCTATTTGAGAAGATAAACCAAAAATTTTACTATTTTTAATTTCACAAACAATACATAATTATTGCTATTTCCATATTATCCTCATTTTGCGTGTTTTATGTTTTTTTTTTTTTTTTTGTTATAGTTTTCCCCCATGATCCCATGTACTAAATTGGCTTGACATGAATCCGAGAAGCTGAAACTTCCAGTTGTCCTTTTGATTTTCGACTCAAATAAGAATTTGCAGCTTCCATATTGCAGAAGGCTGAATTATCATCTACTTAGTCGTCTTCTAGATAAGCAGTGACAAACTTTCGAGTCTTCTTAATCCTAGTAAACCGACAATGCCTTTTGCAATTGTGGGCAGAAAACTTCGTCACCTTCTTTGCATTTGACCAATTGAATGGACAAATTGCGTGGAACATGCGAAGCATCTAGGAAACCACATGTTAAGTGCTCCATATAGATTAATATTGTTTTAAATTTATGTGTATATATTTTTAATTTTTAAGAGAGAATAAAATAAGATATTTAGGCACCGTTTGCAAGAAAATTAATACCAACTTAGTGGTCATTATTTTATTCTTGGTCTGCAGATAAGAGTTAAAACTTATGTCTATCTAATAATATCTATTGTTTTTGCCATCTCAGCTTAACATTAGATAGCTAACTCCTGCAAGTCAATCTTACCCTCGTCTAATTTTTTTTTTTTTTTTTTTTTTACTAATCACTACTATCACGATGAATACATAATCATTGATATCCTTTTTCATGTTGTATTTAATTATAACACTTGAGAGTTTCGTTAGGTGACAATGTTATTTTAGTGTAAATAAGAACCATCCAATCTAGTGGTAGCTTATTAATAACGCTGATTTAAAATGTAGGTCTTATTTGTTGGTTGTTATTTGTTAAAGCCTATAGGGTTTTAGCAATATATTTGCAACAAGCACATTTTTAATGGGTTTGGTTGTACGTTGTGTCAAATTTATTAATGCGTCCAAAACCAAGCTATACACAACCATGTGGATAAATGTAACTCGCTTCGCTTGTGGTTGTTTGTTGTGCATCTTTTTGCAATTAAGGTTCACCCATAAAAGAGAAAAAAATAAAAGTGTAAATAGTGATTATCAAACGCTTAACACGTGTCGTCATCTGATTGGTACGACACCGTAAGTAGAAACGTAGGGATGCACATGATTATCTACTTTTGTAGAATTAAATAAACAAAGAAAGAAATAGTGACCAAGGTCCAACTTCCAACAAAAGGCAATTTCCTTGTTGGGAGGGTTCTTCAGGCGTGAGGATTGAAAATTGAGGACCCCTTCTACGTTTTGGTGAAATGGATAAGCTTCATGTGCCATTTAATTTCTTTTCCCATATTAATATTATTAATTAGATAAATATCCAATCCATAATATATAAATTAATTAATTAATTAATTACATATTTCGTTTTGCAATAGCACCGCAGCTTTCAAATTCCGGGTTCCGCTTTTCCCCGTCTCATTCCACACGCCTTTTTTCCTCATTCAAATTTTCCATTGCCGACTATAAATACCCCTCTCTCTTTCTCTTCTTTAATTCACACACAAATTTCACAACAATTTCGCGTTTCATTTCTCAATTTATTCAAAAAACTTTTCTCAGCAAGAAGATGGTAGATTTAGATTGGAAAGCGAAGATGGTCTCCTCTGATATGCCAAACAAGTCACCGAAACTCTCCACCAACAAGCTTAATATCTCTGTTCCGGTCTCTCTTCGCACCGTACAAGCAGACATCTCGACGGCGTCGGCTCCGGCATGTTCGGCGTACGAGCACTATCTCCGGCTGCCGGAGTTGAGAGCTCTATGGAGCTCTAAGGAATTTCCGGGCTGGAAAAATGAAGCGATTTTAAAACCGGCCGTTATGGCGTTGGAGATCACGTTTCGGTTTCTCTCGACGGCGTTATCGGACCCGAGGCCGTACGCTAACCGCAGAGAGTGGAAGCGACGGCTCGAAGCGCTAACGAAGAATGAGATCGAGGTGATCGCGATGCTCTGCGAGGACGAGGAGGAAGACGGCGAGACGCGAGGAACGGCGCCGATCGCAGATTTGAGCTCGACGAGCGGCGTCCTGGCGAGGGACGGGAGCTCCGCCGAGGTCTGGAAGATTCCCGGCGAGACCGCGCCGGTAGTGAGCCGCACAAGCGAGGCGAGCCTCCTACCTCGGCTCGCAACGTGGCAGAGATCGGAGGACGTCGCGCAGAATATCCTCTACTCATTCGAGTGCGAGATGCGGCGGTGTCCGTACACCCTAGGCCTCGGCGAGCCGAACCTCGCCGGCAAGCCGACGCTGGAGTACGACCTCGTCTGCAAGCCGAGCGACCTCCATTCTCTGAAGCGGAGCCCGTACGATCACGTCGAGAGCTACGAGAATCAGACGGTGTACACCACGCACCAGGTTCTGGAATCGTGGATCCGAGTGGCGGATGAACTCCTCCGGCGAGCTGCCGACCGGATCGAAATCAGAAACTTCGAGAAGGCCGCGAGCGACTGTTACCTAATCGAGCGGATCTGGAAGCTTCTGGCAGAGATCGAAGATCTCCACCTCCTGATGGATCCGGACGACTTCTTACGGCTCAAGAACCAACTACACATCAAATCCATGGATGATTCGGAAACTTTCTGTTTCCGATCGAAAGGCCTCGTCGAGATCGCGAAGAATTGCAAGGATCTGAGGCACAAGGTTCCGTACATCCTCGGCGTGGAGGTGGACCCCAAGGGTGGGCCCAGGATCCAAGAGGCGGTGATGAAGCTGTACTCGGAGAAGTCGGAGTTCGAGAAGATTCATCTTCTTCAGGCGTTGCAGGCGATCGAGTCGGCGCTGAAGAGGTTCTTCTACGCCTACAAACAGGTGCTCGTGGTCACCATGGGAAGCTTGGATGCAAGAGGGAACCGCGTCGTGGCGAGTCCCGACTCCTGCGACTCGCTGAGTCAGATCTTTCTGGAACCAACTTACTTTCCGAGTCTGGACGCGGCGAAGACGTTTCTTGGAAACGGCATGAACCATGAATACGGCGGCGGAGAGGGACGAACTCGGAGGAAATTGTGAGGTTTGACTGGGGGTTGACTCGGTTGACCCGCGTTGTTTGGAAGGATTTTTACGAGGGTGCAATTTTGGAATTTGGGGGCTTTCAGATTCACGGTTTTCACAACATAACACTTTTTTTTTTTTTTTTGGTAAAATTAATTTATTATTTTTTTTCCTCATTCTATTTCTTCATAGCACTAAAATGATCGACGGGGGGCTTTCAGATTCACGGTTTTCACAACATAACACTTTTTTTTTTTTTGGTAAAATTAATTTATTATTATTTTTCCTCATTCTATTTCTTCATAGCACTAAAATGATCGACCCCTGTAATGTAAGCCATGTAACTTCTCAAAAAGGGAAAAGCAAAAAAAACTTGTAATGTAATGTAATATGATCTTGTAAAATTTTTGTATTCTTATCCATCCTTATTGTATTGATTTGTGATCAAAATAGCTTCGACATCCTTTTTTATTTTTTTTGTGGAAGTCGAGAAATATCTTTGATCCTAGATTTATTTTCATAAAAATGTTCTTGCAAAGTCAATATGAAGTTGGTAAGAACTAGAATACATGAAGATTAGTAAAATATTAACGCTTACATAGAAACCCTTTTCTGTATATTTCTATTGAATCCCCATGTTTTAGATAATATCTCAAAAAAAAAAAAAAAAGCAAGGAAAATTGTTAGTTTCTGGTTGCGGTGGTTATTAGAAAAGTCTACACCAATATGATTATGGATATCACAAACAATACAATTATACTCACAAGGATGAAAATATCGATGTCAATTGAAAATATTGAGTATAGATTCTTGGAAATATCGGTTGATAATATTTATGTCGATTAAAGTTTAGAGATGCAGCGGATGTTTGCATAAACAATTGAAATTTCAAGTAAAATTATAGGAAATGTAAAAAGATTAAACATATAATTTGTAATTATTTTTTCTCTTATAGAAAATGTAAAAAGAAAAATATATGACATAATGGCTGATATTCTCTCAAATTATTTTCCCTCTTTTGTTGTCTTTTCTCTCATGTGTGAACATTAGTGGATATTTAGTTGCGAATATCATTTAGAAAGTATTGATATTCGATGATGACGGTGTAAACCAGTCTAATAAGATAATTATATGAGACGATCACAATAATAATAACTTGATGAACGAAACAAATAAACAAATAACAATCAAGAGAAAGGAAAGAAAACACCATAATTTATAGTGATTCATATCGGAGATGAGGCTACGTCCAGTGTGTAGTTCCTTCGAATTACTATAATGTTTGAGTAAATACAAGATCAAACAAGAACAATTTCTCATTCTCACTCTCTCTCTCTCTCTCCCGTTTTTGCTTCAAAATCAACCGGATTTCGAACTAAAGGAAAATTTCAAGAAGTTTCCAACGTCAAGAAAAGGATTTGAGGTAAGAATTCTGAAAACCTCTTTTGAATCTCAAGTTTTTCAAATTTAAAAACTTATTTTTGGTTCAAAGTGGATTTTGAGTAAACCATGGTAGAAATTGGAGATCTTGGGTTCTTTAGACTTGATTCAGTACCTAGAACCCGGATCTAGTGGTTTTCCTTTGAGATATTTCGATTTGGAACTGAAATTGCAGGTTTTAAGGCTGATTCTGCGAGTTTTCCTCGCCCTGCTGTTCTTCACAGGTCGACCTATTCAGTCGACCGGACTGCATTGGTTATACCGCTCGACCTATGCGGTCGACCGAATTGTACACCACCGTTCGACCGGGGATGTTGCATTGCTCTGTCACCGGTCGACTGGTGTACACGGGGTTTGACCCTGTTTTGCTAAAAAAAATACTGTTTTGGCCTCAGTTTTTGAGGAGAACCCAAATCAGCTTCATTTGGGGACCTAGAGTAAATGGATTAGCTTCTTTAATCCATATTTTGAGATTGAAAACCCTTGGAATGATGATTTGAAACATGAATTGATTTTATGAAATTTGAAATGGGATTAGGGCACACTAATAGGAAATCAAAGGATATAATTGAGATTAAAATTACTTTAGGAATAAGAATTGGATCCTAAAGTGTTGTTTTGTATCAGTGCTAGCTGAGGACTCGGATTGAGAGGCTTTGAGGAAGAGAAAGCCGGAATAGAGTAACGCTAGCCACAGGTTTGATATTTGTGAGGTAGGATTTCTTACCCTTTCCTTTGTGAGCCTGTTTTGAAAAGAATTTTGGCATTGCAAATGTTTTAAAGAAAGGGCATGGTTGCAAAAGAAAAATATTTTAACCCCCATGGCTTGTTGTAATTCTAGGGAGTATAATGAACTGTTTCATAAGGTTTAATGAATGATTTCTTAAGATAAAAGATCTTGCAAATCGGTAAACCGGCCGATGGCCTAGATAGGATGTGGAGAGTACATCCTTGAGGACAGGACCCGAAACCTGGCCCGAGGGGATATGGCTTGTGCATATGGTTGTATAAGTAATTTATCATAGTATAAATTACTTGTTGATGCCTGTAATACATAGATTTTCAGCTATATTTCCTTTGAGAAAAAGGATGTGAGGTTCCGGCTGTTATGTTGGAACTGAATGTCTATATTTATTCATTTAGTTATTTATTTATTTACTTGTTTACTCATTTATTTACTTATTTACAAAGTTATTTCAAAATATATCCTACTGGATCTTTCGCTCACGTTTCATTATTTTATAAATATTAACCCCTCCCAGGCGACTCTAGGAGCAGTGCAGAGTAGCTGAGTAGTGGCTACCACCAGATTTGGTGAGGATTGTGATCATCCTCCCTGTGTACGAATGTAAGAATTTGTAAATTCTGTAAACTCTGATATTTGGATTTCTAGACTGTGGTTGATGTTTGTATTGTTATTTACACGTGTCATGTATGTACAATGCTACGTATCCTGTGGGTGAAGCCCTGAACGATGTTGGCTTAGTTATAAACCTCTTGTAATCAGTAATTTATTTTCAGTGAAATGTGGGGCTTGTTTGGGAATTTCCTTAATGTTTTATTCTTAATCGCGTTTAACTCCTAATTGAAACTCCATGTCACTAACCCCGACTTCGGGGCATGACAGGTTTCCTCGCCAGGTAAACTTCCTTTTTATGCATGCTTCGGTTGATTGATATCGAATTTGAATTCTAATGAGATTATTCTTGTCTACTACTTTTATATATGTTGGTCGGTTCTGAGATTTCTGATCTCAAATTCGCTATTTTAATTAGGCTAAAATTCTTGATCGTTATCTCGTCTTCATATTCGAATTTCAAATGCCTAGCTCAACATCTTCCTATCTGGCGAATATCAGGTTTAACAGCTCGATTAACTATCAGCATATGATATTTAACCTTTGTATTTGTATCGGGGTTAATATTATTGGAGAAAATTGTCGATATTTTCTCTTAGTGCCCGTGCAAGGAAAATTTATTTAAATAGTTATGTAGTAATGTATATTGTTTCGGTTTTTTCATGTTAATTATTACTATAATTCCATTATTCCACTGTACATGGTGGCAAAATCTTTATTTATTTACTTATCTTGACCTATTTCCATATATGACCAAAACACAAAATTTGAACTATTGACTTTTCTATCCTGACAATAGGTGGCTCTTTCATTCAATGCTTGATCGCTCATATTTCGTTCAATGCTTGATCGCTCATATTTGAAAAAAATTCTTAGTTTGACACGAGGTTAAGATTAAACTTCCTTCGGGAGGATAAGAAAATGAGAGTTTTCTTAAATTCTCTACCTCTGGCTGCCTGATATGTATGATACCTACGGCAGCATTCTCTCTTAACATGAAATGAAAGGGACATGATAACAAAAAAGAAGTGAAATAAAGAAAATAGAGTATTTTCATTTACACAACTTAAGTCAAGTTGAGTTATGTACGTGAGAGAAAATATTATAATAAAAAAATTAAAATTAAATTTTTATTAAAATAAATCCTATAGTAATATAATTTGAGTTAAGAAATGAAAAGGAGGATATAACTATAGTTCACCTATGTAATACACCTGACGTCATTCGCAGCCCAAATTCCTGGCTTATAAGTTTGTGTTATAAAAGTTGGTGGCTTTTCGAGGCCCACTTACCTTTATTAGTCTTCTATTACAAACGTCAATACCCTCTCAATTTTGAATAATTTTACCCATGCAGATGTAATGTAAAGGTCATAGTCGCCCGGCCCAACCTGACATTTCAAATGGGAACTTAAGGAGGAAGGTTGTCCTGAAATTTACAGGGTATTTAAAAAAATACAAAAAAAGTGTTCGGCCAAGGTTGGGTTCATGCTTGAAACCTCGGTCTGGCTTGACCTGAAACACTTATGGGGTGTTTTGTACGAAGATTTGTGATATGATTTGAATCATAGTTCATGATTCGTTACAGCGGTTTTTTTCATAAAAAAACACACTTAAATCGAGAATGATTCTGAATCATAGTACTAAATCCATAAACCAAACGTCCACTTAAATAAATTAAAACCAGATTAATAGTAACAGATTTCGGGCTAGTCAGTTCTAATGTAGTGATGAGAAAGAGATATCAAATTGGGATTAGATGTAAATCCATACATCTTGAATTTAAGTTCATTAGAAATATCTTTAAACATTTTTCCTAATGTTTCTTACTGATTTTCAACTTAGTTTTATTTTTGGTTAATGCTTGTTGAATTTGATAAAGTGTGTTGCATAACATTCGCAAATTAATGGTAGCCCTTTAAATTTAAACAAAAGTATTCACTGTACATATAACCCGACATGTTACGTGGTTATTCAAATTTCAATGCGCTTGTTTAGAACTCATTTCGAAATCGTTTTTTCCATTGTTGGAGGACCCAAAAATAAAAATGCAGTGAAGACTATGTTTAACACCCCATCAGAGTAAAAACAAAAAGGAAAACATTTTCTATTATCTCCCAAAAAGCACCCATTTCTGAAAATGAATAGAATTCGTTTTCCTTTTCTCAATTCCATTTTTTATTTTCTTGACTGGCATTTTTGTTTGTGCTTTGTGATTTTTTTTTTTGTTTGCTGATGCTTTGGGAAAATGGCTAGTTCAGGATAAAGCTTTTCTATAAAATCCTATTTCTGAAAATTGGCTCTTGATAGTTTTGCATTTATCACGGAGAAAACTTTTGTTTTAATTTTATTTGTATTTATTTACCATATATTTTTGTATTGTACTAAACAAAATATGATTCATAGGAGACATGCTTAATTACTAGGCAATTGATTGGAGATTGTATTAATTATTTAATATATTATTTAAAGTACTATTATATGTTTTGAAAAATGTAAAATCAAAAGCAGTTTCAGTTTTTTTGTACCGAAAATAATCTCAGAATAAAACAACTAAATGCATTTTTGAGAAACAATTCCTACCTGAGATTGAAAACGTTTGCATTTCCGTTTTCATACAGAAAATAAAATCATTTTAGAACGGGTTCCAAACGCGCCCAATATTTTCTCTTTACACAAACTAAGGCCTTGTTCATTTCACGCCCGGCCCAACCTGACATTTCAAATGGGAACTTAAGGAGGAAGGTTGTCCTGAAATTTACAGGGTATTTAAAAAAATACAAAAAAAGTGTTCGGCCAAGGTTGGGTTCATGCTTGAAACCTCGGTCTGGCTTGACCTGAAACACTTATGGGGTGTTTTGTACGAAGATTTGTGATATAATTTGAATCATAGTTCATGATTCGTTACAGTGATTTTTCTCATAAAAAACACACTTAAATCGAGAATGATTCTGAATCATAGTACTAAATTTATAAACCAAACGTCCACTTAAATAAATTAAAACCAGATTAATAGTAACAGATTTCGGGCTAGTCAGTTCTAATGTAGTGATGAGAAAGAGATATCAAATTGGGATTAGATGTAAATCCATACATCTTGAATTTAAGTTCATTAGAAATATCTTTAAACATTTTTCCTAATGTTTCTTACTGATTTTCAACTTAGTTTTATTTTTGGTTAATGCTTGTTGAATTTGATAAAGTGTGTTGCATAACATTCGCAAATTAATGGTAGCCCTTTAAATTTAAACAAAAGTATTCACTGTACATATAACCCGACATGTTACGTGGTTATTCAAATTTCAATGCGCTTGTTTAGAACTCATTTCGAAATCGTTTTTTCCATTGTTGGAGGACCCAAAAATAAAAATGCAGTGAAGACTATGTTTAACACCCCATCAGAGTAAAAACAAAAAGGAAAACATTTTCTATTATCTCCCAAAAAGCACCCATTTCTGAAAATGAATAGAATTCGTTTTCCTTTTCTCAATTCCATTTTTTATTTTCTTGACTGGCATTTTTGTTTGTGCTTTGTGATTTTTTTTTTTGTTTGCTGATGCTTTGGGAAAATGGCTAGTTCAGGATAAAGCTTTTCTATAAAATCCTATTTCTGAAAATTGGCTCTTGATAGTTTTGCATTTATCACGGAGAAAACTTTTGTTTTAATTTTATTTGTATTTATTTACCATATATTTTTGTATTGTACTAAACAAAATATGATTCATAGGAGACATGCTTAATTACTAGGCAATTGATTGGAGATTGTATTAATTATTTAATATATTATTTAAAGTACTATTATATGTTTTGAAAAATGTAAAATCAAAAGCAGTTTCAGTTTTTTTGTACCGAAAATAATCTCAGAATAAAACAACTAAATGCATTTTTGAGAAACAATTCCTACCTGAGATTGAAAACGTTTGCATTTCCGTTTTCATACAGAAAATAAAATCGTTTTAGAACGGGTTCTAAACGCGCCCAATATTTTCTCTTTACACAAACTAAGGCCTTATTCATTTCACAACTCAAGTTCTATTGCTAGTGTGTTTTCTTTTATAAAAATTCAAATTTAACTTTTTTACTATAATATTTTTTTTTATATAAACTTGAGTTGTGAAACAAACATACTTTATGTGTGGATAATTATTTTACTAAAAAAATGAGAAACTATTTGCCAATAAGATTGTTTATAACCAAAAACTGATTGTTCTATAAAAAAGAAACTAAGATTGTACAATTGATCCAATATTTTCATCACACATGAGCAGGTTACTTTTATTAAATCAAACATAGTTGAAGTTTTTTTAAGATTATAGAGGCTTTGTTCATTTTATTGATTTAAGTTTTTAATTTTATTTTTGTTATAGTTAAAAATTTTTACAAAAAGTTATATTTAATTTTTTTATTATAGTTAAAAATTTTAATATAAAATCTTATCTCAATTTAAAAATTTGAATCGGTGAATTGAACCAAATCAAAGAAATTTCGGCCTCGTTCACTTCGCGGATTTGAGTTTTCAATTCGAGTTGAAATGTGATATTTTCTGAGAGCTTTTCACTGTAGTAGAAAAAATTAAATGTGGCATTTTTTATGAATTTTTTACTGTAAAAATATAAAACTAAAAACTCAAATCGGTGAAATGAACGAAACATTCGTTACAATTAAATTCAGTCCCGTGTCTAAATCACAGTTGGAGACGTTTGGTTCATGGATTAGAATCATGTGATTAAAACCATTTTTGATTTACGTGTATTTTTTATGAGAGAAAATACTATAGTAAACTATGGCCCCGTTCATTTCGCTAATTCGAGTTTAGAATTCGAGTCTTGTTATAGTAAAAAGCTCTCACAAACAATCACATCTAACTTTTTTCCTACAGTAAAAATCTCTCACATAAAATCACATCTCAACTCAAATTAAAAACTCGAATCAACGAACTAAATGGGCCATATGAAACTATAATTTAAATCATGGTTTGAATCCTCTAACCAAACATCTACGATTCGGCAATCATCCACTAGTCTCGGTTCACGTGCAGCTACAAATTTTACGCACCAACGACAACTTGCCACGTGGCTGTGAGCTTAAACTGTTTTTAAACGACATTTGTGCATGAGCGTTGCGAGGACATTCTATAACAGTCCTTTACAGGTGTCATCACATTACACTTGATTTGGTTCGCAAATAGCATTTTCGGTTAGCATTCCTATTTATCTCTACACGTGACATCAGTCCCATTAAATAGATATATAGAAAGATAAAAATTTAAATTAAAAAATAAATTTATGTAAAAAAATATTATAAAAAAATTAAATTATAATTTTTATGAAAAAAGACACTAATAAAAATTTAAATTATAATTTAAATTAACGAAAAGTGATAACCCTTAATCTAGTGGGTTTCACTTTTTACGAGGATTAGAGAATTTATACACATAAAATAAATATTATTTTTCTTCTTAATTAGAACGTCTCTACGTGTCCTCCCTCATCCCGAATAACATTTATTTAAACTGTTAATAGAATTTTCAATTGTTAGATGTTTCAATGTTGTCATTGGTTAAATTTTATATTTGACTTAATTTATTGAATTTTAATTAAAATTGATAATTTAAAAATAGGTAAAAATAAAATTTTCATATGTAAGAATTTTTTTAAAAGTATTTTTTTAAATACGTTAATATATTAATAGATTAAATTTTTATCTATTAAATCTACATAAAATAACATAAAAATTAAAAAATACATAAATTTAACCGTCAAAAAAAATTTAATCTATTAATATTAAATTTAATTAAAATTGATAATTTAAAAATAGGTAAAAATAAAATTTTCATATGTAAGAATTTTTTTAAAAGTATTTTTTTAAATACGTTAACATATTAATAGATTAAATTTTTATCTATTAAATCTACATAAAATAACATAAAAATTAAAAAAATACATAAATTTAACGATTAAAAAAAATTTAATCTATTAATATATTAAATGTATGAGAATATCTCTTTCCTTTTTTTTAATTGAGGGTGTTAAATATCCTACCACCGGATTTTTGTTAAGAAGGGGAAAAAAAATCTTGTACTTCTCAGCCACCCATCCACGTATTTACTAGTCAGTTCCATCAAAAAAAGGTATTTACTAAGTCAGTCTACCAATCGAGTTAAACAGCTTGATTTATCACATGACTGCCACGTGTATTCCACCGCCACTTCCATCACTCCACGTGCCAATTAGCTTTCTGCATGGGAGGCGTAAATTTCTATCTCCCACGGCCAACAAAAGCACTCTGAAAAGTTCTTTATTCTGTCTTTCTTTTTTGTTATGCAAGTTTTTTCCTCTCTTTTATATCCATCTATCTATCTTTCGTTCTCTACATCAAAATCTTGATTAGAAGAGCCTTTGTTGTTGAAAGGGATTCTCTTTGTTTTTGAGAAAGGAAAATGGGTACGTTGTTGCTATTTAAGGAAGGCATGTTCATCACCGACCAAGCATATTTGGGTAACTTGTTCAAAACCAATCATGTGTTATTTTCTTTTGTTAATTAACTCAAATCGTTTCCTTTTCTTTTTTTATGCTTCTTTTCGAATTTGTATTTTTCTTTTCTTTTCTTTCTTTGTTTTTTTTTTTTTTGTTTTTTGGGAGATGGGGGTTTAAGCTTATGATCTGATATCATACTTATGATTGTGGACAAAAGAGAAAAAAAATGTCAAATTTTGTATGAAATCGTGATCTTTGACTAAATGGGGTCGCCTTTTATCCATTTTTCAGATTGGATTCAATTGAAAGCAGAAGAAACTTCTAGAACATGGTTTTGTAGTTCCTGCGGTATGGCGTATGGATCTGATTTCAGATTCTAAAAAAAACAAAAACAAAAATAAAGAAAGAAAAGGGGCAGTTAATGACACCCTTTTCACACGGGAATCTTGAGACTGTTTTACTACTTTTTTTTCCCCTTTCCCTGTTGTTTTCTTGCTCTCCCTTTTATCAAACTTTTGGTTCTTGATCTTTCCAGTGGCTTTCTTCTTGTGGGGATCTCTGGTTTTTGATCAACTATTTATAATCCTTGTCATTTGTGATCTAATTTGAGAGCCGATCAGAGAGAGAGAGATGAGAATGAGAATTATTGCACTAAGAAGTTCTCAAACCTCACAGCTCAAACTTCCTCATGCTCGTTGTTCTTTTTCTGTATTAAAACAACCTTATTCAATCTCTTTTCCCATAACAACAAGCCCTTGTGGAAAACATCCAACTTTTTTTCATGGACTAGTTAGTTCTTCAAAAGTTTGTAGTGCTAGTTTTGGTGAGTTTTTCCCCGATGAAGAACTCTCTAGTCAGATTGAAGAATTGGCGCACAAGTTCAATTTCTCTGACGATAATGATCACGAAATTGGGGCTGAAATAGTGAGTGTAGGATCAAAAATCTCTCTTGACATGAAGTGCCTGGAAGGCGAAAGCCTCGGGGACGGTTCTTTGAGGCCTTCTCTGTATGTTGTTGAGCCAAAAGTATCGCCTGATTGGCGTGAAAAAAGCGAAATCGATAAGGTGATCATAGAAAGGAAGGCGAATAGTGTTGAACTTCCTATGTCTCTTCTGTTGATAAGGATGAAGCATAAGCAATGGAGGGAGAGCTTTAGGGAAGCAGGGGAATCCACCTATTGCTCTATAAAGAAGGCCTTCTATTACATGGTTTACATCATTCGCGAGCTTCAGACTTGCGCATTGAGCCTTAATGATAGTGCTTACTATGAAGACTTGCAAGGGGTCGTAACCAAGATGCAGAGAGAAATGAATGTGACTTTTGTGTGGCTGTTTCAGAAGGTGTTTTCTCCGACGCCAGCTCTCATGGTGTATTTGATGATCTTGTTGGCTAATTACACCGTGAAATCTATGGACGATCGTGCTGTTGCCGCTCCGATGCCAGCGATCTCTGAGACTTTGCCTGCGACCAAGGATGAGGATCAGCAACACACGGAGTTGGACGATGTTTCTGCTGTGAAGAGGATTTTAAATGGAGCCAAATTGATCATCCCTTTTGGCAGTGGAACTAAGGATGAGGAAAAACAGCACTACTCTAGTGATGTTCCTAAGGGGACTACCGGGGTTCCTTTTTCAGGAAATGAGGAGTTCAATACTGAGGAGGAAATGGAGTTATGGAACTCAATTTTGGAGGAAGCTTCAAGAATGCAAATGGAGTTAAGGACCAAGGCGCTTGATCCAGAAACGGTGCAACAATTAGTGTCACCTTTGAGTGTGGAGCTTGAGGAAGATGATTATGCGGATTACTTTAGAACAGATCTTGAATACCAGATGGGGTTAGCTCGTGATCCCAACAATCCTCTTCTACTCTCCAATTACGCACAGTTTCTCTATCTTGTTTATAACGACCATAAGAGGTGAATTTTCCTTATCCACTTCACTTTTCTTCATTTGAGAGTTCTTGACATCTTGTAGAGGGTTTTAACTTAAAAGCTTCTATATTATAACTTAAAAGCTTCTAAAATTATCAACTTGAAAAAGTTGTCATTTATATGGCGAATACATTAGACATCATTGACCCCATTACAAAGTATTTGATTATTTAGATGCTTTATCATTCTCTCTTCTGTATGTCTATATGGTGTGATTACTACCATGTTCTTTTCAGTAACTAGAGTGATTTGGTATTTTATAGGGCTGAGGAGTGCTTCCGCCGAGCCGTGCAGGCAGAGCCACCGGACGCCGAGGCCTTAAGTCGATATGCAGAATTCTTGTGGAAGGTAAGGAAGGACCTGTGGGGTGCAGAAGAAAGATATCAGCAGGCTTTGGCAGCAGAGTCGGGTAACCCTTACTATGCGTCCAAATACGCCAATTTTCTATGGAACACTGGCGGTGAAGAAACTTGCTTTCTTGGTGCATCTCATGAAAACTACAAAGTTTTGTAATTACTAGAAAGATGGCTTATCAAGTTAGCTTTTTTTTACCATAATCTCAGAGTCTGTTGTCAGGACAAAAGGTTTCCTTCCCGGAATGTTTTGTTCTAGCTTGTTTAATCCTAGAGTCTAAGAGCCCGTTTGGTTTATAGTTTGGTTTATAGGTTTAAACGGAAATTCAAATTTTTTTGATTTGTTTCCAAAGGTTTTGAACCCGCAAAACAAACCGGCTATAAGACATTTGGTTTGGTTTAAAGTTTAATAGTCTCTGATCAACACAATCCAACAAGATACAAGGCACACAACAAACTATTATAGGCTCTAGGATCAGCTTAACTAAGAAAATAAAAGGCTAGTGTGCCAGCTTACAAATCTGTTTCCAAAAACCATAGTAATACTGTTTCTAGCTCATGATCTTTCTTTCGACCTTAACCCAGGACCAAGTTGGCCTTGTTGTTTATTGAGCTAATTGTAACGAGTTTTCTGAGAATATAAATATAAGGATGCAAAGGATCATATGGGTTGACACATGATTTTTATTTGTTGGGATTGCCTGGCTCTTTAGATCTTTGTTGGGAAAGATAAATGAATGCTGTGCCCGTGACCCATAACCAAACACACAAAAAACATTATTAAAAAGCCAGAAGAAAAAGAAACAATAAATGTGGATTGATATATGAGCATCGTAATCAAATTTAGTTCAACTAGAAAGAAAGTTCGTTACCATTGGTGTATAAAACAGGTGGATGGTTGTTAGTAGAAGTCAGTACAACTATACAAGACCTTTCAACTACCATAATTTTGATTCATTCAGCAGAGGAAAAAAAAAAAAAAAAAACCCTTAATTTTGATGATGAGGTAATAGGAAGGAAGCGACAAGCTTTGAAAACGGGAAGCTAGACTCAGAAAACACGCTTTGAATTTTAATTGAGTTTGATTGTTCAAAGAAAACGATCGCAGAATATTAATCACGTATTAATGTAATCCAGCTTTAATTGGATTGCGTGTTCATGTTAGTCAATCCAGTGACCATTAAACTATGTTTTCTGGTAGAATGGCCAAAACAAAGACCAAAACGCATGCTAATCCCAGAAAAACAGGTACGAAAAGTTGTCTTTTGAACATCCTTTTCTTTAGCAGTTGAAAAATGGAAAGACGCAGGCACGCTGCACGCACGCAGCCATCCACTTGTTTCTAAGTTTCATAAAAAAAAAATTAAAAAAAAAAAGACGACGACACTATTAGGAATTGAGAATAATTCGAGTTTAGAATTTAAATTTTACTATAATAAAAAATTTTTAAAAACAATCATATTTAACTTTTTTACTACAATAAAAAACTCACATAAAGTCACATCTTAATTCGAATTAAAAATTCAAATAAACAAACTAAATGGACCCAAAATAAAAAAGAGGAGGAGACTTGGCAACAAATAGATGATTTTTTCTCAACTTAATGGGTTGACAAGACATAAAACAACAACCGCATATCTAGAGTACCAAAATCATTTCTAACTTGCATTGTCTTAAATATGATTGAATAAAAAAACGCATGCAAGAGTGTTAACACGAGAAAGTAAAACTATCATAAGCGGTAACTGCCTTGTGTTACATGGTAAAAGTACAAGAAATCAATCCAATAAGGACCAGCTATTATACTAAATGATGAGTTTCTACTTAAAAAAAAAAAAAAAAAAAAAAAAAAAAAAAAAAAAAAAAAGAAATCCCACAATGCTAATTCACATGTATCAGTAGCTTCGGTGTTAAGACTCGGCTTAACATCATAATTGTAAGGGAATTTGACAAAGGTACAAGACCTCTAGGAGATATCTATCTTCCACTACAAACGCATGCAAGAGTGTTAACACGAGAAAGTAAAACTATCATAAGCGGTAACTGCCTTGTGTTACATGGTAAAAGTACAAGAAATCAATCCAATAAGGACCAGCTATTATACTAAATGATGAGTTTCTACTTAAAAAAAAAAATAAAAAAAAAAAACCAACTACGTAGAGACTTCACTAGTATACATACTAAAACCCGAAGAGACGCAGCAACTCTAAACCAAGAGTAGAACTAGGCAATCGCAAGTGTAAGCTCTACTCTTCAGCATCATCAAAACTTGGGTATTACCAAAGCCAGATATTGCGGCTATCCACGGCCTTAACATTTGTAGTTATCAAAGGATTTCGCCCAAACTCAGTAACAAATCTATTAAGGCACTTGGTTCTTTTTTCGCTATGACCTCCCAGGCTACTGATTCCCGTTGAACCAATTTCAAATATCTTGCCTACAAAGCAAAAGCATGTATGAGAGCGAGTTAATTTAAAAAGCAGATATAAAGCGAAACATGAAAATTACATTTTAATTCAAGTGCAAGATATATAAGCTAAATAAGTACTAAAGCAAGATGAGGCACGAACATTTTCCTTCACCTTTTGTTAAACCTGAGAATTTGATTAAGAGTCGCTAGAGTTCGTTAAGCAAGATCATATTTATGTGTGCCCTAAAGCGCTAAATCTTGATAAAACCGAGAAAAACCTGACAATCATGGTTTCTAAAACAGCGTCATGCAGAAATAAGGTTCCAATTGATAGATAGACGTGCTGATAAAACTAAGAATGGATGAACTCATTTTGATAGAAAGCCCTGCTGATGCAGGGAATTCTGGAACAATGGGAAGCTCGCATTTTGTCATAACTTCTTTCTTTCAAAAGGCAAGGAAAACCTCAACCTTTTCCTTATTGGAATCTCTTCGCTCCTTACTTCTCTCGATTGATCTGATCATCAAAGGGACTCAACTGAGACAGAGTAAAGATGTGACTCAGCAGTTCAAACGGCTTAACTGGGAATAAACAAAAAAATGGTTGCTAATTTTGACAGATAGTCCTACTGGTAACGGAATTTAGGGAAACCTAATATGGTCAATTTAGAAGTGTGTAGATCTCATAGGAAAAGAGTATACCTGCTTAGCAATGTTATGGTAGCCCTAACATCAAATGTTTATTGACAAACCCAATAAACTCTACCTTTCACCCAATGTATAATCACTAAATACACGTTTGGTTGGAGGATTCAAACCATGTGATTCGAACCATTTTCGATTTACGTGAATTTTTTGTGAAAGAAAATACTGTAGCGAACCACAAATCATGATTCGAATCAGGGAACGAATCCCTCTACCAAACACTTCATAAATATGTGTTTCATTGAAGAGCATGAAAACCAATGGATAATCAACTAGTATAGTATACAAACTCTACCTTTCACCCATATAGGGGGAGAACCAGTTGCATTTGCGACAAGAAAAGACATTGCAATATCTTCACAGTTCCTGGTGAATTCGTTTCAACATGTCAGAGTTACATTATTCACGTCAAACACAGCTTAAAGGTTGAATGTGCAAGAAAGGGCAAATGAAGAAGAACCTGTTTTTGGTGGTATATTCTCTGATTGAAGCTGGCATTTCATTAGTATACATACTTAGATACTTTTTGTGGAAGAAGGCTGCCTTAGAGAGTACCATACTGTAAGACCCTGTCCACCAAACAGACCACCACCCGCCATATATGTAGTGATCCCTATTGCCTTTCTGCATACAGATTTACTGATATTAAATATGGAACACAATTATTTTTCTGGTTATATTAGACGGGAAAAGATAAATGCAGCTGAAATCCAAGCTGAACCGACAAATAGATTCTTGTGCTACATGCTGCTATATCAAATTATTTTCTAAGGCTTGTGTATGAGTGAGTTACGTTCCAGCTAATGAAAATGGACAACAAGATTCTAAAAGCCATATATTGATGCTAATCTATGAAAGTCCGACCCGTTATAATACATTACCCTCTAAGTAATAACTTAGAGAAACTGTTAGAGTCTTTGACACAGAACAACGATTACTCTCCATGAAGACTGTTTCTAGAACCAACGATTGAAAAACTTGGGAGTAATTTCTAAGGTAACTGATGATGTTTTATCATAGAGATTGTTTTCCTCCTAAAAGTTGGGAACAACCATGAACAACATGTCATGCACAAGAACCAACAATGAAAATGCATTTCAGACAACACTCCACAAGTTATTCTGAACTTGGGTCTCAAAAATTGATGGGCAGAAACGGACTGTGGCAAACAGATAAACGTAGAGCCAAAGGTGAAACAATTTAAGAATAGAGGTTTGCAATGAAGGGGAATATATCAAAGTAGGGCATACCGATGGATCAACCCAATGAATTCGGGGCACAAATCCCACCATTGTATCTGGTGCACTTTGCCAAACATTGAAAGCAAACTCAACCGAAGAGCAAGGAAATATAATATCATCATCAATGGAGAAAACCGCATCCACTTTCAAATCTTTACTTTCTTTAAATCTGTTGTTCAAACTGTCTTCCTTATTGATATCAAATTTCAGTTCAACTTGCCGCCCACCTCTAGCATTTTCCAGTATAATGTGGTTTAAAAGCGTTCTAAGAGAATGGGATGGAGGGTCAGGCTCACTCCATACAATATGTATAGAGTCGAGCCCCTCACATGTTGTATAGTGAGAAATCGACTGCTTCAAAAGATCATATCTCTTCCACGTATTCATCACAATAGCATATCCTTTCCTGCGTGCAAAGCATACATTTCAGTGAGATTGCATAAAAGCTGATATCACCATACTCAAAGAAACTATAACCTGCTGGACAATTCTATGCTGTGTTCTAGCCTCTAGGACTTAATTATATATATGGGACTAAAACAAGAACTTATCAATAGGAATCTCAAAGTTGTTATCTAAAGATTGGTTGCAAACTAAGAAACCTTTTCTCTCCTATAAGATTCTGGATTGCTTAAGTGTTATTTTCCTCAAATGCACGATTTGTAGATAAGTGAATATTTCCAAAATGTAAGAGATCACCGTCTTATGCTACTTTCCAGTTTGAGTTTTGACCCTACAATAAGCAAAAGCTAAACTTTCCAAAAAAGAAAGCTTCTTTACCACAAATCTAACATTTCTTTTCAAATAAAATCCAAAAACTGAAGTTTTTAACTTGACGTATTTACCAATAATGGAAGATTAACAACTCTAGTTCGGATTTATTAACTACTAATTAGCTGCCTAATTCAATGCAAAACTTAACTAAAAGCAATCATTAATTCAAGCATCAAGAACAGCTTTACGAACCGTGAATCAGCGAGTGGAGGATCAGAAACGCTCTGACCGGTCCATCCCAATAAGCCTGGGGCACGGCTCGCGAGCGCGATGAGCGTCAACGCGATGCAAAAGCAGAGCAAAAGCTTGATCTTCAGCGATCCGACGGTCGATATCGCGACCTGCCGGAACCTCTGCATCGTCCGGCGGTTAAACAAACTTCCTCGCATCGCCGCCGTGGCTGACCGGAAAAAAGAAAAATCCTCGCAGAAAGCGAGCAACTTCGCGTGGATTCGAAGCCGATGAAACTCGAGCTCAAGTGCCGAGGACAAGTCGACTAGGTCGGACTCAACCGCGGCCCCTTCTATAAAATTCCTCCGACCATCAAGAACCGAAAAATTCTCTTTCCCGGTTCTATCCCGAGAAATGCTACGGTGCAGCGCCGGTGGGACCAAGAAAAGATGACACCGACGACGATTGAACGGCGGCAATTGGAATTGGCCGGTCGGAGATGGCGACGACGATGACGTCACTGATCGAGGCAAGCAAGCAAACAACCACCGCGTTCGAGTTTTCGCTCTCTTCTCTCTCTCTCTCTCTCTCTCTCTCTCTCAGATCGGAGGGAGAGTGACGAAGGATTTGGGTTCACAACAAGAACGTGGATTGATTCAGCTGTGAAACTCTTTCAGACGAATGCTTCAGTGTGATTACACGTGTCGAACATCGACCGCCCTTTTCATGACCTCAACGGCATCTCTCAGTCGTTGATTCTTATGACGAGGATAGTCTTTTTCCTGTAAAGCGGCGTCGTTTTGTTTTATTATTTCTTTAACCGCATTTTCGCAGCAGTTTTCTCCCTCTCTATTTGGGATCTCTCTGATTGGCCACTTACGAGATTATTTATTTATTTATTTACTTCATGACCAATAATTGAGATGCCATTTACCGAATTTTTAAATTGGTTTTCAGCTTAATTAGGTTACGTTTTATCCATTGATAATGGATTAAAAACAAGAGCAAGAGGCTGGAGAAATATGGATAGGATAAGATAAATTTCCTTCTGTGCGAAAGACAATAAATAGTTTTCTTAATTTGCTTAGAATTATATCCATTTTGAACTCTATTTTCTCTGAGTTTGATCGTGACCACCTGCCCAGTGTTTTTTTAATTAAAGGTTAGATTCTCAAAACTTTTGTTTAGAACGTTAAACAGTTAGCACTTTTTGTTCGTCTACAAAAGAGTTGATTTGTCTTGATGGAGAAGCTTAACTTTAAGTTGTGTAAGAATTTACTACAATTGTCTTTATGACTTTGTCCATAGATAAAAAAAAAAAAAACAACAACAACAACGGTATCTATTTTTAATATTATCATAAAGGAAGGAGTCATATCTTTCTTCCTAGATATTAACTTAGGAGGGGAAATTTGAGAATTTTCTTAAATTTCCCTTTTAATTATGAGATTATTTGTCCCGTAATTCTCAGTGATTACGATTAAGCATGCAGGCTGAAATTACCTAAACCCGTTTCAAGTAAAATAAGACATTAAATTTAAGATAGTTTAGTTCTATTTTTGTGGTAATTCTAAAAAGACTTTGAACTGAACTTTCCATTTCATCCTAAGTTTTTTTTTTTTTTTTTTTTTTTTTTAAATAGAATATTAAAAAAAAGCATATACATACATTCATACATAAATGCATGTATGCAAACACATAAAAAGTTTTTCTATTCAATTTTGATCACTTCCTAGTTTGGAGAAACAGGAGTTGTCCACTGTTTGACAGATTTGTTCAACCAACTGGGCTCAAAAGTGGAGTGCAACATTTTCTAATTTGTCTCATTCATTCGGATTTCACTGCAATCCAGTCGGTTATTGCGTCGTAATGGAGAATACAAATCAAAGTAGCTTTGAAATTAAGCTTGTTCGTACATTTTGTCACTTAATTAAGTAGGTCTCGTCAAGACAAGATATATGTGTTCCATTGGGTTAGGCTTACTGTTACCGGGCTCACATATCATAAGGTCCCCGAAAAAATTATTGATGCTCTGGATTTTTGCCTCTTATTTTTATTAATATTTTTTTAATTAATATAATTATTTAATTAAAAAAAAATTAAAAAATAAAAATTTAGATTCATGCACTTTAAACTTTAAAAGATAATTCTTAAAAAGAAAAAAATAATGTGCATATTTGGAACCGTTTTTTAAAACGGTTTTCACGTATTTTGATAAATAAAAAATAAAAATGAAAACGCAACGACATTTGTTTAGCAAATATTTTGAAAACGAAAACAGTGAAAATGATTTTTGTGAAGAAATTAGAAAACAGTTAAAAGTTATTTTCGCTTTTCTGTTTTCATTTTTAAGTACTTATTAACAATATTATAATATATTAATTAATAAACACGATTTCATTTTTTTTATTATATTCAAAATAATCTATAAACAAACCAATCAAACGCAATTTCAGAATCGGTCTCAAAATAATTCTCAAAACAATTTTATTTTTACTTTTTATTAAAAATAAAATCATTTTGAAACAAATTCTAAACGCACATATGTCTCCTTTACTCTATACTTTTTTTTTCCTTTACAAATGGTACATCTAGTAACAGTAATGTTATCAACGGTAACTCGACAAAAAAATTTTACAAGTAAATAAATTGGTCCTTAATATTTTATGGTCATAACGCATCTCCAGTTCCATGAGCAATACAAAAACCAGACACATATGGTTAGTTTTTGGAAATGTACTTTCCCTCAGTAGTCCGAGCTAAAAAGGAAGAAGAAGACATGTGAATTTGTCACATCTATCAATTTAAGCAAAAAAAGAAAAAGTTACATTTTATGAACAAATAACCTCGTTCACTTCGCGGATTCGAATTTTCAATTCGAGCTGAGATATGACATTTTCTGATAGTTTTTTACTGTAGCAAAAAAAAAAAAGAAGTTAGATTTGATAATTTTTTAGAGCTTTTTACTGTAGAAACTTAGAACTGAAAACTCGAATCGGTGAAATAAACGAGACATAAAATAACAATTTACCTACCACCTGAGCTGGTATGAAAAGATTTAAAGAGACGTTTGGTTCATGGATTATAATCATTTTTTATTTACGTGTATTTTTTGTGAGAGAAAACACTATAGCGAATCATAAATCATGATTCAAATCATGGATTGAATCCTCTAACCACCTTGTCATAAAATAATACAATAATATGTCTCAAGTTTAATGCCCTTGCGATTTTGTGCAAGTACAGGTTGAAATCACCTTGAATAATTTCCTGAAAGAAAAAAAAAGAATTTTATGATACGATATATATTAAAAAAGATCAATCCCATACAAATAAAATTTTCTTTTTTTAGAGAAATAAAATTTTCTTTTATTGTGCTTTCTTTTTATTTTTATTTTTAGAGAATTTTATGGTGGGCTGTGACGTGAAAAATACCTTTTTTATAGTGTACAGTTTTACATCACAATTTCTTCGTCAAAATTTTGTTAAACTCATTTTAATCTAAATTCTAATATGGTTCCGCTATAATTTCACGTTTCACAACTAGCTAATGGGTACAATGCCACTGACAGAACATTTTTTCTTACCGTGTCATGTTTTCAAACGTTGAACAACACAAGTCAGGTTTTTTCAGCGCAAAGAAAAAGTTTTTAGATTTCGTTAGTTTTACAAATTTAAAAAAAGATGTGATATTTTCTTTTCACAAATTTAAAATTTTAATTTAAAAGAATATGTGATATTTTCTTTTCACGAATTTAAATTTTTAATTTAAAAAAAATGTAATATTTTTTAAAAATTTTTAATTATAATAAAAAAATTAAATATAATATTTTTTTAAAATTTTTAATTATAAAAATTTATAATTAAAAACTTAAATCGATAAGAAATCGTTTAATCCAAGGTAAAGCTGCTATAATCAGTGCAACATCCGAGATCACGAATTGATAGCTCAATCTTCCTCATAAGTCTAATAAAAAAAAATCTTCCTTTAATTCAACAAAGGCTGCGTAGAAATAGACAAATGGTAACGTTGAAGATTTTTTGGTCGGCTTGCATTTTGCACATGTCAACACTGGGATAGGAAATAGTACAGCACACAACAAGAAGACTAATACACGTAAACATGAGGACGTTTGGAAGGAAAATTCATCTCATAATTTAAATCATGGTTCGTGATTTGTTATAATATTTTTTTTCATAAAAAATACATATAAAATGAGAATAGTTTTAAATCATGATTCTGAATTCATGAACCAAACGTCTCATAAATTTCTCCAATTTTTCAGAGAAATATTGAGTAAATGTGTAAAGAAATGCATATGTAAGGTCAATTAATCTAACCATTATTCTTGCAAATCTAGAGGAATGCTCCCTCACCCCCTCTCTAATGAGGGGTATAGAGAATTACACTCTTTTAAACATAATACATTTTTTGACTTTCTTATTCCCTATGGATATTAACTTGTGGAGAATTCTAATAGAATACGTAGAACTAAAGAAGAGAGCTAAGAGGAACAAATTTCCTAATTTTCTAAAAAAAAAAAATTCCATCATTAGTCGAAGAATTACAGCAAAGACAATTGAGCCATATCATATATCATCACTATATCCACCATATATAAAAGAGTGAAAAAGAAAGTTGTTGTACGTTTTGGTCGTCCAAGACGCACAGCTTTGAGTTTATTTTTTTTCCCTTACTTTCTTCCTTTTCTTTCTTTTTGCTAATTTTTCAACTCTTTTCTTTTATTTTTTTTTCTCTTGCATTACTTTTTTTCATATTTTTTTTTTGTCTCCATTAGTCTACTATAACTTGGTTCTTTTAAAACTGCTTAAATTTTTATTTCTTTTTAACTCTATCATTTTTATATTTTACTTTTTTTAGTGAAAAGTATTGAATTTACTTTTAGAGTGCATAGATCGAAATATTTATTTATTAGCACTCTTAATTAATATCTAAAAAATAATTATATTAGTCAAAAGGGTATTAATCAATACTCTTTGTCCTTTGTCTTTTTTATGTTTTTTTTTTTTTTCTTTTTCGGGGCTTTTTTTTTTTTTTTTGGCTTCATTATCAATTTTAATGTAGTCTCTTACTCTTAATGCTCTCCTACCTTTTTTTTTTCTATTTCATTTTCTCTAAATTTGAAAGTAATCTTTTTAGTTATGATCAACTATGACTACCATTACGGTTATTTATATATCGAGTTATTTTGTTATTTCGCTGTTAATTCTTTCTATGGGTATCGAGTTATTTGTGTTTATGGGTACGTGTCTTTATGTTTTTGGGTTTCTTTGAACAAAAAAGCTATATCAAAATTTTACCTGGTTAATGAAATATACGGTTTTAATTCCTTAATTAATAAACCGTCTATTTTTAAAATGAATCTAACACAACAATGATATGTAAAGGTTTCAAAATGATAACATAATAAAAAAACATTTGGAAAAAAAATATCTAAAATAAAAGGTCGAAATGTGTCAACAGTCTAATTTTTTTCTTTTTATGGATATATTTATTTCTTTCACTATTTACAATCTCCAATAAAATCCTAACCCGTTTTGGTCTAACAATCGTAAATTTATTATAAACAACTATATGTGTAAATAATCTTTTTTCTTGTTTAATTTTCAACTAAATTTTCTTATATTCATTCTTTTTTTATTCATTATCTAT